TATTTAAAAATGAGCGAAGAAATTAAGCATTTCAAGTAATCATTATTGTATGGATCATGGTTCACATAATTGTGTGATTATATTATCAAATAATGTACATTCAGTACACAAATACTGTACTTTTGGTATATTAAAAATGTACATTGTATTCAGGAAAAGTACATTATTTGAGTATTAAAGTACATTATTTATCAAATACTTTGTAGTCCAATGGTACTAAATTGCTCCCTAATGTGGGAGGTGATGTGTTCAAGTCTTTATGGAGGCTTTTGATGTAATAGTTTGTGTATGTGGGTATCCTCCTTCTCTAATAATAATAAAAAAAAAGTACATTATTTTGTAGGGGAGTAAACGAGCCGGGCTCGAGCTCGTTAATGGAAGCTCGACTCGATCTTGAACTTTTTAATTATTATTTTTATATATTATAACTATATTATGTTATATTATATATTATAAATATCATATATTATACGGCTCGCGAGCGGCTCGACAAGCCACGAGCCTAGAATATCTAGGCTCGGGTCGAGCTCGATTATTAAACGAGCTGCTCGAGCTCAATTTTGACACCGAGCCGCTCGCGAGCGGCTCGGCTCATTTACACCCTTAATGTACATTCAGTACACAAATAATATACTTTTAACATATTAAAAAAATGTACTTTTTGTTATGCTGCACAACACTATGTGGATCATGGTCCAACCAATAATTTGCTCATTTCAAGTATATATGGACATATAACAAGATAGGGTTAATATATATGAATAAAAAAATTCATGATAATGAGTTTTATAATATGTTGAATGTTTATTTTAGGTGCCACACTTCCCAAATTAGTTTTTAACATTAGAAGGAAAATGAACTTTCAAAAATAATAATCAAACTATCTTTAATCCCTTATCTCTAAACACATCAATTTGATTTTAAATTTCACTTCATGAGAATTGTGCATGTTAATAAGATTGATTAACAAGAATGTTATGACTCCTCTGCAACTTATATAAATCACATTATACGTGACAAATCGAATTATATTTTCCTAACTTTCTACTAATTTGCACCTACAATCATGAAATTTTTTATATTTTACGGCGCTTAATCATATATGGCATGTTAGGTAACAAAGATGAATGGAGGTTAATTTACGGTCCGGATCAGTGGAATCCATAGAATCTTGGCCACGGGCTACCCTGGGGGTTTAGCCAAGCTTGAACTGAGGCTTAGGGAGGACTTGGAAACCCTCTTACAACAAGAAGAGTTAATTTGGTACCAAAGATCCAGGGAAGAATGGATCACCTCTGGTGACAGAAATTCTGCCTTTTATCACGTAGTCACGACGGTACGTAAATCGTGTAACGTTGTTCAGAAGCTAATGGAAATCGGAATTCAAATGTGTATCAAATACTTGGTAATGGTAATGGGTTTTGGTGAAAGTATTTTGCATGTTTGGTAGTAGGATGGAATGAGAATTGATTAACTTAAAGGATGAATAATGGGATGAAACCCTTATAAAATAAGGGAATGAGTCTTTCCATTAATGGAGTATTCCAAACTCATAGTGTGTTTTAAAAACAAGTCAACCAAACAATAACAATCACTTTCATACCCATACTGAGTGCTAAATCTGCCCAACCAAACACACCCTAAGTATATTTGTCAGATTGAGAGGAATAAGAAGTGTTCAATTTGAAACGGACTGTCAAATATTGGTGAATGAGCTGAATAAGAAGTATATTCACTAGATTGGTTTTCATGCAATTATATTAGAAAATCAGCGAATTAGTGTGTTCACATTAGGACAACTATGTCCTTTACATTATATTTCCAGAACTGCTAATATGCATGCTCATACACTAGCTTCGTTAGCGTTCGATCAGGAACATCCTATGTACTGGGATGTAATCCCACCTGACTCTATTACTATGTTCGTTCATTAATATACCAAAATATTTGGCTTTCAAAAAAAAGTGTGTTCACACTTTAGCAAAGGTGACTGGCCCTTAACATTGAGAAGCTAATCCTTCGAATTGTATTAGACCTTTTATCTTAATTTTTTGTTTTTCAAAAAATAAAAATAAAAATAGAGAATAGCTGTGGAATCATTATAGTTGTATTATCTTAGCAGTGAAAGACCTAAAAATACACACAACTATGGAGCTAACACTTACCTAGTTTGTCTACTCTCTTAGTGTTGCTTAAAATTACAATGAAATGCATGACTAAGAAGTAAGAACAATTTAGGTTTCTTAAGCCTTTTTACGAATTCTCTCTACTCTTAAGAAGTCTCTATTGTGAGGTAAATAATTGTGGAGAAATTTCACCATGAAAATTATTATGTGGCCTCTCAAATTTTACTACAACTTTTAAATTCTTGATGTAAATATTTTTTGGATGGACAAAATACTACTTGTACTCTCAACTCTTGTTTCATTTTTTTTATTTATTTATTTCCACTCACACATTTTTGATAGGCACACTTTTTGTGAAACCCACCTTATGATAATAACCGGTCATTGTTTGACACCTACGAGAGTAAAAGTTAAGGAGAAGAATTTGAAAGTATGTGCACTCGAAGTGTAAAATTACCTACATGATGAAAATAGTCTATCATTATATTATATAAAATAAAAATAAGAAAGTAAGATTTGAAAGTACATATAATAAAAGGAAAATAACAGTTTTTTCCCCTGAATTATAGGCTTATAGCACTTTCCCTCCTGAGTTATTCATGCATCCACATTTGCTCCCTCAATTGTTATAAAAATGACGATTTTTCTCCCCTGATATATTAAATGGACATTTCTATCCTTAAAATAAATATTTTATTTATTTATATTCTTCAACAAATTATTGCTTATACGTAGGGATGACCAGTGTTCGGTTCGAACAACCGAACACTATAGCAATCAAATCAAATTTTTTCGGTTATGATTCAGAACATAACCCAATATTTGGGTTTCCGTTTATTAAAATCGTAAACTGGAAAAAAATTGATTATGAATCGTGAACCGGAAGTTCAAATCGAAACAACTACTAGCATTAGCTTAAAATTAGAATTATAATATTTTCAAATAGTGTATGTTTTCTTTCGCATTTATAATGACTCTCACATATAAGTATATATAACCACGATTTGGTTTTTATTTTCAACCGTCGATTCACGGTTTTAGATTCAATTTGAACTGCTGGTTCAAACTTTCTTTTAAACTTGTTTTTTTATTTTTTAAAATATTCTAAATCAACAATTAGTGTATTTTATTTTTTCAAATCGTGGTTATAATTTGTTGGAAAAAAAAGTAAATGAAATATTTATTTAAAGGTAAATATGTCAATTTAATATATTAAAAGAAAAAACTGGCACTTAAATAATTTAGGAGGAAAAAGTATAATAAGTATATAACACATGAAAAAAGCGTTATTTTTCCTATAATAAAATTTTATTCATTTAATGTTCAACCAAATCAGGTTTTTTTTTTTTTTTTTAATGTTCAATAAAGAATAACAAAGAACATGTAGGGTGTATGCAGCCACGTGGAACTCAGCAGTGAGAGCACTCATCGTTTAAGGAGTGCAAATGTGGACTTTCCAAATCCTCACCTACCACCCCACTATTCTTCTATCACCTACCCCCCTTCAACCAAACGCCGTGGCTTGTTTTTACACCCCCCCCCCCCCCCACCCCCCCTTCCGCCCACAGCAAACTGCAGACCTACAAAATCAAATTACACTTATTTTGTCCGACATAATGCCACCTCCTTCCCCGTGACCTACAAAATCAATTACATTTATTTTGTCCCGACAGATAATAGGAGGATGTAAATTGGTAACTCAATGACTCACTAGATAAGATCAAATATCAGTGCATACACTTTAGACATAATTCTTACATTATCGTTGTCAAATTTTAAATTACATATTTAATATTTTCGTGTGGGACAAATCTCAATTAAATTCACACTAAATTAAGTTAACGTATATAAATTTATTAAAAATGTTATAGAAGTCATAAAATATAATCTTATATATGTTATATAAAGTTGATGCAGCATTAAAAAAAAAATACAACTTTTAAAATATAAAAGTATAATTTACAAATGTTATCTTTGATTGTAAGAAAATTCATAGTCAACCCAAGGTTCTGCATTTTGTTGAAGTTCAAATCTTAGTCAAAAAAAAAATTACAAAAATTAAAATTAATTTAGATTTTTCATAATTAATCAACGCAGATAGAAAATACCAATAGAATCTTCCATATAAGGAATGGAATTATGTGGCTAAATTTTTACATATTTGTAGCTGCAACTTTTATGGGAAAGCTCACCTACCACTCTCCCAATTTGATTTGGTTAATGTTAAATTCACTAACGCTAAGAATCGTATTAATTGCCAAAGAAGTGATTCTCTCTAGTGGGAGGTTGTGTTTTAGTTTCAGTTAAAGTAGTATTGCCTCGTTAAATTTTACTCCCTCCGTCCCGAAATGGTTGTCTCATTTGCTTTTTACACGCTTTTTAAGGAATTAAAGTAAATGTTATGTCATTTCCCAATTATGCCCTTCACTTTTCTTACTTTTGGAAATAAAAGCAAAAGTCATAAGGGTAAATTGGAAAAGTAGAATGATGTTGATGTTCAATTTTGGAAAGAGGACAACATTTTGGGACAAACTAAAAAGGAAAGTAAGACATGGAAAATGGGACGGAGGGAGTAATAAATTGAGAAGGTATATATGAAAAGATACTTATACGTAACAGGTTTAATAGTACTAAAAAAAAAAAATGAATCTCATCTTATTTAATATTTATCACAAACAATATAATAGTGATTTGAAATTAATGAATAAAATCTACCTCCACACGGACCACACCCACGCAATTTTTAATAAATAAACAAATTCATTAATTAATTGTGTTTTACAAGCTACAACTACCGTTTCCAAAAATAAAAAAAATAAATAAAAAAAAAATAAAAAATAAAAAGCCTACAACTACCGCTTCTTCGAGTGCAACTACTCCACGTCTCCACCCACCAAACTTGAAATCTTCTCGGCTGTATATAATTGACCTCCATGGCAGATGCTTAGGCAGAGCTTCTCAACCACCGGTTACTGTTACAATGGCTCTCGCTCTACTCCCCGTCTCAATCCTCCTCATCTTCCTCGCCTACAAGCTTTATTTCAAGCTGCGCTTCAAGCTTCCGCCGGGGCCGCGCCCGCTGCCCATCGTCGGCAACCTGTATGACATAAAGCCGGTGAGGTTCCGCCACTTCTACGAGTGGGCGCAGGAGTTCGGCCCCATATTCTCGGTCTACTTCGGCTCGCAGCTCAATGTGGTGGTCACCACGGCGGAGCTGGCCAAGGAGGTGCTCAAGGACAATGATCAGAGCTTGGCTGACCGGTTCCGGACCCGATCCGCTTCGAATCTGAGCCGGAACGGGATGGATTTGATTTGGGCCGATTACGGGCCTCACTATGTCAAGGTCAGGAAGCTCTGCAACCTCGAGCTCTTCACTCCTAAGAGGCTCGAGTCTCTCAGGCCTATTAGAGAGGATGAAGTCACCTCCATGGTTGAGTGCATCTTCAGAGACTCTACTAAGCCTGGTATATTTTCCTCTTCTTTTTTTTTTTTTTTGTTTGTTTGTTTAATTTCCTTATTTTCTGGACTATTTATTATGCTTATTAAATTTGCTTTGCTTGACATAAAATCATAAATCATGCTCGATTATGATTGTACTGGATTGGCACTTGTCACCTTACAATTGTCCATTATACAGAACTTCTAATTTTCAATCTTACCCTATATATGGAGAGTGGTAGGTGAGTTTGGAATCTTCACAGAATTCTAGTAAAGATTCATGTTTAGGAATACTTATTATGCTATGATCTGGTTGCTTTGATGAATTTTTTCGAGAAAAAAGTCCAGTAATCTGATCTCTATTTGAAGGTGCCAAGGTGGCTGATAAATAATCTCAAGAATAAACCACAGTTCTTAAGAATGATGAAGAATTTTGAAAGAAATGCTTCAAAAAATTTTAGCAGATTATAGCTATGCAGATTGTTTACTGTAGTATTATAACTATGCAGATTGCATAAATAAAATGATGTACCTTAAAACATAAGAAGCCAAATTGGGCAACTTGCGATTTACCTCCTCCAGTAAGGGTTATGGTGTCTTAGGAATTAGGATTAGTCTAGTGGTAGTTATGACAATTGGTCTTGAGCTTATTCTTGAGGGGTTTTTGCTATGCAGGTAATAGTGGTAAAAGCTTGTTGATGCGGGATTACTTGGGTGCTGTTGCATTCAACAACATAACGAGGTTGACATTTGGGAAGAGGTTTATGAATTCGGAGGGTGAGATTGATGAACAAGGGCAAGAATTCAAGGGCATTGTTCACAATGGGATCAAGATTGGTGCAAAGCTTCCCATGGGAGAATATGTCCCGTGGCTTCGTTGGGCATTTAAGTTAGACAATGAGGCTTTGGAGAACCAAAATTCACGCAGGGACCGGCTGACTAGGAAGATCATGGAGGAGCACACCCTTGCACGCAAGATGTCAGGTGATACAAAGCAGCATTTTGTTGACGCTTTGCTCACTCTTCAAAAGCAGTATGACCTCACAGATGACACTGTTATGGGCCTTCTCTGGGTAAGCGAATTGCAGTTGTTATTAATTAGACTCGGTTTTAGCTTATCTTGTTTTAGTTAATTTTTTGTTGTCAGACCATGAGGCGTCCTGAGCAGACCATAACTATAACTAAAGAAGGCACCTTTAAGCCTACACTATACTCAGACTAATTCCCATTCGCACCGGGCCGGTCCAATTAAGGGGCAAAGTGCTGGCCATGAGGTGTCTTGTTTTAGTTAATTCTTAATTGACTGTTGTATTGTGGTGAACTTGTGCAGGACATGATTACAGCCGGAATGGACACCACCACCATATCAGCAGAATGGGCAATGGCAGAGCTGGTTAAGAACCCAAGGGTGCAAGAAAAGGCTCAAGAAGAGCTGGACCGAGTTATTGGAACCGATAGGATCATGACAGAGGCCGATTTCTCCAAACTCCCTTACCTCCAGTGTGTAGCCAAGGAGGCACTCAGGCTGCACCCTCCAACTCCCCTGATGCTCCCCCACAAGGCCAGCGCCAACGTCAAGATTGGCGGCTACGACATCCCCAAGGGCTCCATCGTGCACGTGAACGTTTGGGCTGTTGCTCGCGACCCTGCTGTGTGGAAGGACCCTCTGGAGTTCCGACCCGAGAGGTTCCTGGAGGAGGACGTGGACATGAAGGGGCACGATTACCGTCTCCTGCCGTTTGGCGCTGGAAGGCGCATATGCCCCGGGGCACAACTCGCCATCAACTTGGTGACCTCAATGCTGGGACATCTGCTGCACCATTTCACATGGTCACCACCTGCAGGAGTGAGGGCCGAGGATATCGACATGACAGAGAGCCCTGGAATGGTGACATACATGAAGAATCCATTGCAAGCTGTTGCTACTCCCAGATTACCTGCAGCAGACTTGTACAAACGTATTCCCTATGTAATGTGATTTATTTTCCTTTTTTTTTTTTTTGGTCTGAATTAGATATGGGTTTGAATGCTTTTGGACCACCGAAGTTATTGTAATGCATTTTGATTATTACTTTTATGTTGGTTGGAAAAGCTCCACGAATAGGAAGAACTAGTTGGTGTGTTAGGTGAGGCCAACTAGACTACATTAATTGTTCTTGTATGCTATATCCACTTGGTAAAAAAAGGCATATATTGATATATACCAACATGTTACTTTACCATACTATGAAATTTTGATAGTTTACCTAATAGCCTAATACAATGCATCTCTAATTCAGGTAAACAAATGTACTCGAGTTTTTGTTCAACTCAAAATTATGGATAAGTTTAATATTTTGGACCTTCCAAAATAAATCCAAACAATCAAAATATTTGGACACCAACCAAGCCTATCCCACCTTTCCCCAACCAAATTATCAATACCTAACCATCACACCAACTCTTAACTAACAACCATTCGTTCATCCCACCAACCATTTATAGGAAAAAAAGAAGAAGATATTTTTCCTTAACAGGAGTGACAGTAAATAAGGTTACTAAGTATATTAGGAAGGAAATATTCAGCGTGTCCTCTCCTGAATGAAGAATCTCCTATTTATGCTAAAACTTTTAATGTTTTTCTACTTACGTAACGGTCTCCTAGTAATGAGGAGCCAATTTACATTTATTCACCGTAATTATGGAGGAACAACTCTTTATTATCCTTCATAATTATCACGTCTTGAATCTGTTATATGACCGTTGGCTTCCTTAAAGTGATTCCGGATTGAATGCTTGTCCCATTTATTTTGTAAAAAAACAACAATAACAGGTTTTTTTTTGAAGGTCAACAATAACAGGTTTTTATTTTTAAATTAAAAAAAAAAAAAAAAAAAAAAAAAAAAAACAAACAAACAAACGGACGTAAAGATTTTGTATTTGTAGTTTGTACCGTACGGAGGGAGGGAGGGAGGTAGGGAGAGATACCTCCTTCATAGGAGGCGAAGAATATTACGGAGTACAAGAGAAGGTCGGGCCCCACCAATGTGGACAGCCTGGCAGTTGCCTACCGTCGACGAACTTTCTTCTGGTCCAGTGGTACGTCCCATTGGGGCCCACTACCCATCTTAACAATGCAATACAATATAATACTTACCGGTAAACCAACAACACTCCGGTCTCCGGCGGAGAAAGGGAAAGAGGAGGAATATCCCAAACTATCGGAATTGTAATTCCTCGTTTGGAAAGAAACATCAGTCATGGCTATTGAGATCGTGGAACCAAACACTTGCGTTCGCGGGTGTTGCCACAGCCAAACAATCCCTCTGCATCTCCCTCCTTCCTCTTACTCTCTCTCTTCCCCGATTGCCCGAGGTCTGCACATCATATCATATCTTATTATTATTGTGTATGTATGCTTTTCCCTCAATATTAGACCCTCACTGTTCTTCTGTTGTGCTTCCAGGTGCAGAGAGTGTGGTGTATGAAGCCATTCTCAACGGCCGGAAAGTCGCCGTGAAAAAGCCCGTACTCTCCACTTCCGATGACTTGGATAAATTCCACAAGGAATTGCAATTACTCTGGTTTTCATCCTGTCCCTCATTTCTCTCTCGCTCTCTCTGTGTATAGCCGATAGTCGTACCAGTGTGTAAATCATTTATTTATTTTTTATGGAAATACGATTGCTAAAAATAGCATGTTGGATCATCCGGGGATCGCGAAGCTAGTGGCAGCGCATGCCAAGCCTCCCAACTATATGTTTTTCTTCGAGTTCTACGAGCTCGGTAATCTCGCTGCCCAGTTGCACGTGGAGGAATGGAGTCCAAGCATTCATAAGGTGCTTGATGTCTCGTCTAAGCTAGGTAAACCGTCTGTCTTTTACTCATCTCAATCCCACTAACTTATCGCTCTTACCGTAATGATGCTTTTTTTTGTTCATGGTGATGTTAGTAATGTATGTGGTAGATTTATATTTGAAGGACAATCAATTTAAGGGATGGTGAATATAGATTACTTCTGTTGAAGACTTTATGCGGATAATCAGATTTACTGTGATTTTTATTTCTCTACAGCAAAGGCTCTGCAATATCTGCACACCCTAGGGATTGTCCACAGGGATGTGAAACCCGCAAATATTCTAGTAATGTCTTTGATGATCCTCACCATGTGCATTCACGTTTAAATTAGTAAAACTCTTGATTTCATGTCCGCTTCGATGTAATTTTTAATTGCAATTGTTCATGCAGCTTTGCATATTTCGAGTTGTGATATAACATACGATTGTTGCTATTCAGCTTGACAGAAACCTTCAACCACATCTAGCTGACTTTGGTTTGGCGGAGTACAAGACAAATCTTAAACAAGTTTCCATTGAAAACTGGAAATCAACCGGCAAGCCAACTGGTGGATTCCACAAGAGGAATATGGTTGGCACACTTATTTACATGGCACCGGAAGTACTAAGGAAAGAGATACATACAGAAAAGTCTGACGTTTACAGTTTCGGAATATCTGTCAAGTATGAACGAACTCTACCACAAATTGATTTGCGCTTTGTACTCCTTCAAAACTAAATCCATGTGAATGCATATGTAATGGAGTGTTTGCTTGTCCATACCATGTTGTATAGTAGTTTGTTTCTTTCTTCCTGTTTCTGCATCTTGATTGTTGACATATAAATGAGCTTTTCTGTGTTATCATTTTTGATGGATTTGGTAAAACTCTTTTCAGTTAACTTAGGGTGCATGACCATAAATTTCACCCTAAGATTTCAATTGGCCGCTACTCACTAGCAGCAAATATAGTATTCCTTGACGCCGTGTATAAATGTTACTTTGTAGATTATGTTTCCTTAGTTCCTATGAGTATAATGTTGATTCAATCTGTTGCAGTGAGCTTCTTACTGGTGTTGTGCCGTACACTGATCTTCGTGCGGAGGCACAGGTTGGTTCTTTCTTTTATCGAACTTCACATTTTGAGCTGCCTTAGGTTATCTAATAATTGATATGTATCTCAAGTACTCTATTATTTTAGTGGGTAATTCTTACCCCTGTTCTTTTGAATGCTTTTACTGGATCATAAGTTGCTATGTTCTAAGTATATAAATGCCATTTTTCTGAGATGTCAGTCAGCTAGGTCAATGCTTCCTAAATCTGAGCAGTGAATGTTGCTTCTCAATGGGTCAACCATTGAGATCAAATTTTGAAACATTGTTCAGTAATTAACATTTGATGAATTTACTATCCTAATGACCAAAAAGCATGGCAAAATCATTGTAGAAGCTTTAGCAAACCAGGGCAGCGGTGAAGCATTTAATAACAGCTATACCTAGATGACTATCAGTCCTTCCATCCATTAACCTTATTTTCTTTGATAATTCAATCTTGCATATCTACATAAAAGATACATTCTGTGACTTTACTGGCTGCTACACTTGTAGTAGTTGCAGTTGTTTACCAGAAATTTTGTATCTACTTCTTGGCAGGCTCATACCGTGCTGGAGATGAACTACACAGAGCAGAAACTTACTGCAGCTGTGGTATCTGAAGGATTACGACCCGTTCTTGCTGGTCCTGATTTGAGTGCACCTGCAAGTTTAGTTTCTCTGATAAGTAGGTGCTGGGATGCAGATCCCCAAAGTAGGCCCTCATTTAATGATATCGTTATGGAACTTGATTCCATTATGGAACATGAAATTGGAGTCAGCAATGGGGAAAACGCCTCAGCTAAACCTTCTATTTCTCAAGGTGTTCCACTGGGTACAAATACTCAAGGTTATCAGGAGAGCATTAATTGGAATACTCAGGGTGAAGATTATGCAAAGACTGTTTCTCTTACCCCTAATTCATGTGTGAGAACGTGGAATGATTCTGCAAATGATTCTTCAGTATATTCTCCAGTCCTATCTTGGGGCTCCTTTGCAAGTTGTGGTAGAAGGGAAATGATGGAGGATAGACACTTCCTAATGCCCAACATGTGTGATACACAGGATATCCATTTTTTTGGAATCTTTGATGGCCATCGAGGTAAATTACACTCTAACATTAAGTTCTTAGGGTCTAATGAACAAAAAATGAAATTAAGATGGAATTTTTCATGGAACAGAGGTAAAATATTTCGTCATGACATTAATATCCGTTTTCGGCTTTCCTCCAGGCTATGGTTAAGTTTGCACTTAATACTTCCTTTTTAGTTGAGGTAGAGATGTGCAGTATTGCAAGTATTGCTATCTTGAATCATGATGAGGTCATTAAAGAAAGGGAGATGCAACTAAAGCATTTTGGTCCTCATTTTCTTCTTGCCTTTCCATATGGCAAACAAAGCTCTATCACTTTCTGATTTCTATGTCTTCCAGTCTTGTTCTCTGAGATAGATAACCACATGTTACACTCTTCAATAAATTTGTTGAGCTCAAATTTTGATACATAAATGATTTGACGGGAGGTTCTGTGCTGCCATACTGAAGTGTCAGGGATACAAGTAGAGTAACTAAATATTTGCTTGCCATAGGAATGACATATTCCTTATGGACATTTATTACTTTGGTGCAGGTGCAGCGGCTGCTGAGTTTTCAGCTGGAGCTCTACCTGGAATTTTCAAATCTCTTGGCTTGATGGACAGGTTTCACTTTCCCCCATTTCTCCCAATTATCTTATGTAATAACTTTGAATTTTCCTTGAAAAAAGTCATACTTAGATTCATTACGTTTTCTGCAGCCCCTCGGATGCCCTTATTGAAACATTCGTCCAGACTGATATTGCATTCAGAAATGAACTTAGTGCTCATAAGAAGCGCAAGGGAGCTATTCAAAAAGACAGCCATCCTGGTTGCACTGCAATTGCTGCTCTTATAGTAAAAAACAAGCTTATTGTTGCTAATGCCGGTGATTGCAAAACAATCTTGTGTCGAGCTGGACATCCATATGCTTTAAGTAGGGTGAGATGAAATTCATTTTATTTAGATAAGTTTCTTATATATTGGAATATTAAATGGACTTGCCATCCAGTTATCTGTTAGAAGCTTTAATCTGTATCATTTTGATTCTGATTAGAACTAATTTGTTGTTAATATAGTAGGATCATGTTGCAAGTTGTCTTGAGGAGAGAGAGCGAGTCAGCAGAGCAGGCATCCAGGTCAAATGGCAAGTTGACACATGGAGGGTTGGCAATGCAGCTCTTCAGGTTAATGCCTTTAATTTTTGCCCCTTATGTCTATGTTGCCTTTTGCAGTTAAAGTTTGTTAGGAATAACAGTGTTGCTGCTTTTAATCAAATTGCTGAAAAACAATGGTTTGATTGGTGTATATAAGATAAAATGCAATTGATAAAAACTTGAGGACTTCCAACTATGGAATTTCATGCTTGCATTCCTGGTGCAAACAGGTCACAACTCAACTATTAGATTGAGATTTTCATCTGTCTAGAGTATGAAACATGTAATTACAATTTGAATTAAATAATACTCCATACATAATTAGCATGCACGTCGTTGGAAGTAAAAAATGTTTTAGGTGCGACTCAAAATTGTGATCAACATTTCTTTAAGAAATTCATTATGAGTTGCTTGTTGGTTAAATATTTGGTTTCCACAGGTCACCCGGTCAATTGGTGATGATGATCTGAAGCCAGCTGTAACTGCAGAACCCGAGATTTCTGAAACTATTCTGTCTGCTGATGATGAATACATTGTAAGGGTTTCTAATGGGTTAGCTCTGTTTTTATTTGATATAATGCTAATCAACAAGACAACAAGGATAACATAATTTGCATATTCTACTAACAGAATCTGTCTTCTTTTGTGATGGTAACCTTCCGAAGTGCAGATGGATTCAACGTCATCCTCTTCATATAAAAATAAAATTTATTGCACGACTGTCAAGTAGCAAGAATAATTAATCGGTTTTTGAAAGAAAATTCAAAAGCCAACTACTGCATGCCACTATATCTCGGACAAAATACTAATAGCTTGTTCTAGCAGTATTTATACAATGCAAAGAGTGTTGGGGGTTAGTAGTTTGAACTTTGAGTGCATGATTTGTGTGATATATAAGCAGTGTTTGTATGTATTCCAGGTAATGGGTAGCGATGGGCTGTGGGATGTTGTAAGTGAAGCGGATGTGGTGAGCATCATCCGAGATACTGTTAAAGAGGCAGGTATGTGCTCTAAGAGATTGGCAACAGAAGCAGCAGAACGAGGTAGCAAAGACAACATAACAGTTATCGTGGTGTTCTTGCGTCCTGTCTCCACGGCAGAAAGAATTTATTAGCTCAAACCCATATCTGTTGATTCATTAATCTGGCTGGCTCATATACTGCACCAGTATCCACATCTCACTATTTCACGTCTTGTAATTTGTATTCTTCTTGTGTCATTCATACATAAACTACGCATTTGATTAAGCCAAAATAATAATAATAATTCTAAATGGCTTCTTATCATTCTAAATGTCAAGTTTTCCCTTTATCTTTTTTTTTTTTTATTAATTCATTTTGTATCCTTATTTTATTTTTATAAATTTATATATTTTGTTAAATACATAAACATAAAATTTGAATAATTAAAAATAAATTATACGGAGTATTATTTCAAAAATCTCATCAAGGCCATTAAAACAAGACTAATATTATATATAGATTAATTAAAAATTAAAATACATAAAACATAATTTTCATAAAATTAAATTGAATACATCCGAGATTAAACAAAACATACTTAGATTTAATAGTCTTTAAGACCACCCCCATTTCCTCCCAAATGATCAAAATATTGATTAAATTGACTACTTGATTCAACCTCTCCTCTATATGTTTACTCATTAGCTCTCTTTGCAACAATTCGTAATTGCTCATTCCTTATATGCTTACGCACCATTGGATCTGTGATAGAATCTAAATTTATGCGTAAGATTTTGCTCTCTTCTCGACGATCCCTCTTCTCTTCTCGACGTTCTCTGTTCGCTTCATGTCGTTCTGCCAACTCTACTTTCCTTGCTTCAGTCTGAGCTTTTAACAACTGAACCTCATAATTTTTTTCAAGTATACCTTGATGGTGTTGGAACATTTGTTTGATTTGTTCATTTTCTGCTTGGATGGATTTTAAAAATTCACAACTTTCTTCATTGAGGTGTTTCTTCTTTTTCTCCTTGTTCATTCCAGTAGGACGTTCGCCTGCATTGTTGTTTTCATTAATCGAATTTGCACTTTCAAAGTCGTCATTTAAATCAACACAAAAATATGATGAGCCTATTGACTTATCAGCTCTATCAGGTAGTGATTGTGATCCTTGTAAGTCAGTACTTTGCTTTCGACTATCAAGACTTTGGTCTCTACTAGGAGTAGTGCTAAATTTCTCGAGGTCCTTAAGGATAGGCCATACATGATCAAATCTAAACCCATTTTGAAATTTGACATCTTGTGACAATAAATCTTTTGCTCTATCTAGCTGTTATAGATCATAAATATAAGCAAGTAAATAACAAATATGTACAAAGTACTAACAATTTAAGCAAATGATTAATAAAACATGTATAAAGTACTCACAATATGTTTTTAAAAAAGTACTCACAATATCTTGTTCAGAAGCTCCGCTCGGGTTCATGTTTTCAATTTGACAGATGCATCCTCTTAATTTTGAAAGAGCTGCCATTATATTTTGCATCCGAGTTTGAAGAGATGTCCAAGGTCGAATATTACCATTATTTGCTGGTAGCATTTGATGGTACTCAATCCCAATACGAGTCTAAAATTCATGGTTTGCTTGATTCTTACCAATTTTAGGATCTTGGGTAATAACACAATAAACACGACATAGAAGTTGATCTTCCTCGATTGAGTATGAAGCAATTCGGGTTGTGCGTGAGCTTGACATTTTGCAAAGAGAATGGAGAGGTGTTGTAAAACCAGAGATGGGGTTTGAGAATCCAAAGAGTGGCAGTTTTACTTTGGCAATCCAAATGTAGTATTTATAAAGATATCTTAAAGTTTGTGATAAGATATTATATCTTTTGTTTGGAAAGTGTGTTGGAAAGATATGCATACTAATGAATGATTAATATTGTTGAGATTTAATCCAACGGTTGAAAACACTCTTGATAAAGTTTGTGATAAGATATCATATCTTTTGTTGGAATGTGTGTTGGAAAGATATGCATACCAATGAATGGTTAAGATTGTTGAGATTTAATCCAATGGTTGGAATGTGTGTTGGAAAGATATGCATACCAATGAATGGTTAAGATTGTTGAGATTTAATCCAATGGTTGAAAACACACATGATAAAGTGTGTGATAAGATATCATATCTTTTGTTGGAATGTGTGTTGGAAAGATATGCATATCAATGAAAGGTTAAGATATTTGTGATAAGATTTCATATCTTTCGTTGGAATGTGTGTTGGAAAGATATGCATACCAATGAATGGTTAGGATTGTTGAGATTTAATCCAACGGTTAGTGATAAAATTTCATATCTTTTGTTGAAATGTGTGTTGAAAAGATTTGCATACCCATGAATAGTTAAGACTCTTAGGATTTGACACACCATCACATGCATAAAAATAACGATGTGATTCAAAGTCTTATTTTCATGATATAAAGAGAAGCCCTTAGATGATGTTGACAAAATTTTTGTTTAGCTCCTAATCTTGAACAGAGACCCTGTTGTACTAAGGAACCCCTGCAGAGCAGGTTAATACCAATCTAAAACCTCAGAACTCAAAATAGAAGTGTATTATATATCATGAAAGAGGTATGACTCCAGTGTGAATTGGTTTAAATGCATACTTGAATAACACATGAAATCTCAGGAATTCCCTGGGGAGACATCTCATTTAACAAATATTCTTCAGTATAGAGCCTGGATATGGAGAAGAACAAGACCCAACAAATAAATTTTACATTGAAATTTAAGTGAGGATGTCACCCAAAATTTCTCCACCAAAATGGCATTGATGAACCGTGCAACGCCATATATGACGCTGCACTGTTCACCAACACCAAATTAGTGATATTGCCATTTCTAAAGTGAAAAAAATTTCATGGATGCAGATAGCCTTACATAAATAAACAAACAAACAAACAAAAGCTTAGAAATGGCCATTTCCAACAAATTTGTTTTGTTGTTGTAGAGTTGGGGTGTATTGACCCAAAATTCATACTCCATATAGTCAATAAGTTGGCCACAAGCTGATCCATGGAGAGTTGATTATAGAAATGAAAAATTACAAATCAAAAGAAGTGAACTCAATATTCCCATAAGAGACTCTCTGCCTTCTTTATTCCACAAAACATACCTCTTTTGCTCTTCATTTCCTGACCCTTCCTTCTATATATATATATATATACTTTTAACTTTTCTGCACCTCAATGTTCATCTCACAACTTCATTTCTTTGCATTATGTACTCAATTAATCACGTCGAGAGTGCAAGGAATGCGGCACATATCTCGAGGAACAGGAAGGGAGCTCCACTCAGGCGTTGAATATCCAATACATAAAATTCCCCGCTAGCTCTGTAAAGCTGTTCAAACAATAGACTGTCTGTCAAGAAGCATACGATCGAGACACATCTGAAATCTCGATTGATATCCATTTGAGCATATATGCATGCTTTCAATGCAGAAGAGGAGGGAGATCGAACATGTTTACCTGAATTTCAAACTTCACAGTATCGCGGAGTCTAAGACTGATTCCAGCAGCAGCAGTTGAGCTCGAACATATTTGGTTAGGTCCCGAGACGCAACCATTTAGTCTAGCTCCCAAATATGCACAGGCAGGTGATAGCCAGATGCATTTCATGTTAAACGGTCCGATCCTCTTCCATTGCACATTTAGGCTGTGAAAGTTTCTTAGAACCTCCAACATGGTGTTATGTGGAGACTCCTTTGACTGGATATATTCAAATAAAAATATACCGTAAACTAATGCTACTCAACACTTAAAATTATGAACTTCACTCGATAATGGGGGTAAATGATAAAAATATGACCTTAAATCCAAGCGCCCAGTTGCCTTCTCCAGAAGAGCATGGCCTTAAATATACTTCATGATTATCCGTGTACTCATCTGCCTGCAAGATCACAAAATATGCTTCACTCTTTCTCGTGAAAACAAAACCGTTATTCTCATCATGGTTAATCCATATAATGCTTTTAAGGAGAGTTTATCAGTTTTTGGTTCTAAAAGGAGTAACAAGTATAAATGTAGGTCTCAAAGAGTAAATGCAGGCCTAACGTTTTCTTTTTATGTTAGAAATCAATCATAAGCACCATAAGAAGAGATCCAAGCAATAATCCTCGTGACAAAACAGTTGAACTTACAGAAGGTTGTACAAGATCGTTGCTTTGATGACCCATATCTGGTTTACAACAGCGGCTATGCAGAAGCATATAATACGAAACCGTTGCCTGCAAAAGTATAAATATGGTGCCAAATCTGTAGTCAATATTGTGAACATCGTAAAATAAGTGATAGATGAGTAGCTTTAGTACCTCATTTTGTGCATTATTATAAAGAGATTCAATCACTACACGAATATCAAATCCAGTTTTTGCCATCTCTTTCAGGACATTTTCATCAACCTTAAGAAATCCAAACAATGTAGTTAGCTCGCTCATCAAAGTAATTTATCAGGCCATAGTATAGCAAAAGGAATTCACGATACAAACCTTTGTCTTTCCCATTTCAGATATTTGGCATGCTGGGGCGGATGGGTTGAGAGAAATATAATGAGGAAGCTGTACTTTAAACCACGAATGCTGGCGTATTTCAGGGATTGATATGCGGTTTACAGGATCAGTGACGAGTATTTTCGATATCAGATCATGGGCACCACTTGACAAGTGGCCCGGGACAGGGTAATTTCCACTCTAAAGCCAAAACGTTCAGTAGGTTGAGAAAGTAGTTATGAACAGATACTATATTGTAACAGAGTGAGTAGTACTCAAAAAAAAAAGCCAAAACGTTCCAACTCAAGTTAGCAATACATGGAGATAAAACGCAGAGGACAGTAATTTAAGTCTGACCTTAATCCTTCTATACAATGCGGGAAAATTATCGTCATCAAAAGGAAGTCTTCCACACAAAAGGGCGTACAAGATAACTCCACAGCTCCAAACATCAACTTCAGGACCAGCGTAAAGATGCTCAGATATAACCTGGATTACATTTATTGAGCATATAGCCATTAATGTGCAATCCAACTATCAGCTTAGGCTTTTAGTTGAGATGGAGCACATGCTTCAATTTTGTATCAAAGCCAAACCAAAGGTCATGGGTTCGAATCAATCCAACTAAACCAAAGTAAATAACCTAGGCACACCTCGGGAGCAGCATAATTAGGGGTTCCACAGCTTGTTTTGAGAAAATGACCATCCCACATTACGTTTCCAAGTCCAAAGTCGGCAATTTTGACGTTGAGTTTTGCATCCAAAAGCAGGTTCTCTGGCTTCAGGTCTCTATGAACAATTTTGCGACGGTGACAATGTTCAACTCCTGAAATGATCTGTTCCAGCATTACAGAAATAACTCCATTAATAATCTAGAAATAGTATTCAGAATCGAATTGAATCGAATTGAATACCTGCTGGAAGAAGTGGCGTGCCTCATCCTCATGGATCCTGCCTTTTTGTGTGATATAATCAAAAAGCTCGCCACACTTCATGTATTCCATAACAACATAGATGTGTGATTCGGTCTCTTTGATTTCATACAAGCGAACTATATGAGGATGTACTAACAGCCTCATTATGTCGATTTCCCGCTTCACTGTCAAGAGAAGATAACAAATTCAGAGGAACTTTTTAACAATCCCGGCTAAAGCTGCAAACTACAAGCTCCCTCCTCCTACTCCAATATCGCCTTTCAGAGTCAACACTATACAGTTAAGAGTATTTGAGAATTTCATTACTTGTATTTCGGGTCTATTTGGATTTTCAGAACAGACTTTTAACCTAGAGTTCCTAAATCCAGGGTTAAAGTACTGGAATACTTAAATTAACCCACACGATATAGAGCTCCCACCGGATTTCATAATGGTCAGAGAAGATGATATAGAGAAATCATTTTCAGGTACACATAAAAGATTAAAACTTTATGGTTATCTGTACTCCAATTACATGTGGGAATGCATAATATGGTTGAATTCAGTGTTCCGTGTTTCCAATTATAGACTGCTTTTAAAGAATTTTGCCTGACGATAATAAATACACATTCACATTTTCATAATGTATAGATTGCTCAATTCAACTTCATCACTTGTTTTCCTTTCTCTACACAGAAAACTTCACGCAAAAAAGGGCATTTCATTCAAGGCACCAAATTAGCGTAATACTAAAACTACCTTTTGCTGCAGCTGAATCATTAATCAACTGACGATCCAAGATCTTAATTGCAACTTTAAGTCCAGTGAGGATATGAGTAGCAAGTTTAACCTTCCCAAATCCCCCAACACCAAGAGTCTTGCCAACAATGTAGTTTGATAAGGCATTTCTGCTAGACTTTCTTTTATCCATCTACCAACTGCAAGCATGAAATTCCCATACTTTATTCATATACACAGAGGGAAGGGAAACATATACCCATAGCAAATCAAAGTTAGCATCTTTCTGCTACATAACAAAAACAATTGCCAAAACAGAGAAGAAGAAACCACACAAACAGACACAATATCAACAACATCATCAAGAATCAGTAAATAGACTGTAAAAGCAGCAAGGCTGATTAAAAGAAGTAAATAATCGAAATTCAAGCATACAGAAGCAGAGATTTAGCCCTAAACCCAGCACCCACCAAAAACCCACCCAACCCAGAAAGATTATGCAAGGTTGGTATGTAAAGAGGGTAAAATTAAAGCATAGAAACAATATAAGAGGGCATTCCAGTAATCGAGAAAACGTACAAAGCTCGGAGATTGGGGCAAAGGAAGTTGATCGAGAGTCCGTAGTAATTGAGGAATAAACGTAGAATCAAGAAAACCAATAAAGAGACAAGACATCTTGGATACAACGTCAGGCAAAGGTGTATATATGTGTGTGTTGGCGACTGTGTGGGAGTAGAGGGAGTGTGTAAGAAAGCGATGGATATAGATTAGAGAGTGTGTGTCAGTGTGTGTGTGTGTGTGGAAAAGGTGACGAAAAGTAACGTATGAGAGGGAAGTAGAGTTGCCATTTGCATTTTTGAAGAATAAGAACAAATGCACATCAAGATAGGCCTAAATTCTATACTCTATTATTCTTGTACCTTTCTTACTAAGTTTCCAAAAAAATCACATGCTTTGTCTTTCTTTTTCTTTTTTTTTTTTTTAAGTTCAAAAGAAAACTATATTTTCAAAAATAAAATAAAATTACAAAAAATTCTTATATTCTCACTATAATATGCTATTAAACAAGACTTGATACTTTCTCAAAAATTAAAATAAAAAAAAATAAAAAAAATAACACAAGGCTCCTTCCTCTATATGAATGGACTTCCCTATGAATGTGACAACTCTGATGGCTCTCTTTATTGACTGTTTGTAATATATATAGTTGTGAATATACTAATAATTTGAGCATTAATATTTTTAAGGCATTCGTATTTTCATATTTAATATTTTAAAAATTCCCATTAAGTAAATTTTTGAGAGTAATGAAACTTCCAAAAATGTTGCAACAATAAAATTAGAAATCATTTTAAAAATCTCATGTTTACCATAATCCATTTGAGAGTAATGAAACTTCTAAAAATGTCAAAAAATGAACTTAGAAATTATTTTAAAAATCTCATGTAATGAAACTTCCAAAGATGTCAAAAAATGAAATTAGAAATAATCATTTTTAAAATCTCATGTTTACCATAATCAAATAATGGGAAAGTTCAATCATTCTAGTTGTATATGGATCTAAATTTAGTGGTATTTGTATAATAGTGAAATCGTTCCCTTAAAATGATATGTACACACCTGTTTATAAGGTATTGTAATTCAAAGTGGGATGAGATGATGAAGATGATTCAATGATTCCCCTTAAAATGATATGAAGACATCCTTTTATAAGTTTTGAACGGTAATTGACTTCTACATTTAAAAACTTCGAGACGTAAATAAAATATATTAAGTACCTATCTCACGTCCCAGCACGATACTAGGATGGGCAAGGTGCACCAAGATGGGCAAATTATGCCCTGGACCCGTGTCCACATTGAATTGTGGACACGGGCCCAAAACGACGTCGTTTTTCAAAAAAAAACGCATCATTTAGTTTTAAAAAAAAAAAAAAAAATCGTGCGCGTTTTGCCGTTAACGGCGTTATTTTTTTTTTTAGATTATGAATGTACAGTTATGCCGTTATGAATGTACAGTTATGCCGTTATGAATATACAGTTATGCAATTATGAAATTATGAACACAGAGCTCTAACATTATGAACTTACAATTATGAACATATAGTGATAAAATTATGAACATAGAGCTCTAAAATTGTGAACATAGAGCTTCGGAAATTATGAATGTACAATTATGGAGTTATGAATGTACAGTTATGGAGTTATGAATGTACAGTTATAGAGTTATGAACGTACAATTATGGAGTTATAAATGTACAGTTATTAACATATAGTAATAAAATTATGAACATATACTCCTATAACGAAGCGGTCTGAAATTAAAAAAAAAAAAAAAAAAAAAAAAAAAAAAAAAGGAGATAAGAGAAAAAAAAAAAAAAAAAAAGATAAGAGTGCCTAACGGCACTGTTACCCGTGTCCAGCAAGCACGCTGGACACGAGTCCAACGCATAACGATTGACCAAGATGGCATGTGGCCGGCCCATGCAGGCTTGGTGCGCGAACTAATGTTATGTGGAGTTGTCATGCGGATCAAATGTCCCCCAAACGAGATTTCTTTAGACTTACTCTTCATCTCCATTAATGATTTCTGCTCTAGTCATCTTGACACCCTTAACCTAACATTGTCTTTTAGCTCAATATTTACTCCATTGATTCACCTTTTTTCTCCCTTGACTCATTCTTTATTCCTTGAGTCTAATAAGTGTCTAACCAACCTAAGCTCCCTTGCATTCCCCTATCAATTAGGATTCTATGATATACTATAAATCAAATGTATGTGAACTTACGGTGTGTTTGGTTCTCACATAAGAATTAGAATCGGAATGAGAATCAAATAACTGGTAATGATATGGATTTTGGTGAAAATATTTTGCATGTTTGGTAGTAGAATGAAATAAGAATGATTATCAATGTTGATGTTTGGTTATGTATGACCCTATAATGGGAATAAATGTTTTGAAAATATTAAAAAAAAAAAAAATCAAAACAATTGATCATAATATAATGACATCCAAAGCACCAATATCAACACAAAAAAAATCAAAATACAAATCTAAAGACACTAATCCAAACTTAAAAATTAAATCATATTACCAATAAGATGAAATGATACCTTTAGAATTAGAGATCAGAATGAGATTTTTAATTGAATGGGTAATCAAATCTCATAGTTGTGTTTTAAAAAGTTGTCAACCAAACACTAACTATGATTTTAATTCTCATTCCTAATGTGTAAAACTCATAAATCAAACACCCCCTTATTCTTAAATCTCAATGGTCTATGATATATATACGGAGTACTATAATCTTCACCTTCCAATATATTGTCAAATTTGATTTTTAATTTTTCACCATATATATTGTCAAATTTGATTTTGATTATATTGTTTTTTTTTTTGTTAAGTCACATTTATTTTTAAAACAAAATTTAAAAATGTCAATTGTTAAAAATTACATATTTGTTTACTATGTGATGGCATTATAAGATAGTCCAACTACCTCAATAACACATACACTAGACTCAAAAGAACACCCTCATATATAAAGTCAAATGATTGGAGTACCTGACTGACTAGATGTTGAATTGCTGTGAAGTTTGATTAATAGATTCACTTGCCGACTTGCACTAAGCAAACCAAGCTAGGTTGATTACCATACACTTACTGAAATAGGGATGATAATAACTCGGAGTAAAATAGGGAAGGCTACATCCATCATCTGATCCACCTTATATTTTTATTACTCATTTTCATTTTTACTCGCGATAATAGACTTTTTCAAAACTCACCGTGTGCGGGCGTGCGAATGCACTATACACGCACTATGAGTACCTAGCTACCACTTATTATATTATTAATTTTTTAAAAAAAATAATATTTAAATTACTTACACATAATAATATAATAAAATTCATTATTTATACTAAAATATAAAATAATAAAAATATTTACATATAATAATTAAATTGTTAATTTTTAAAAATAAACTTAGTAATTTAGATATAAATTAAAAATAGTAAACAGTTCCCCATAGTTATAAAAACTTAACCGTGACTATAAATCATATATTTAGTTTAAACGCATTAATTATATATTGGTTTGGAACTCACATGACGATTGCAGGCTTCTTTCACTATTTTAAGGTTTTAAAAATTCTTTAATCAGCCTCTTGCATTATTATTCTATCATATTAATTAATTTAATGATCGATCTAATTAAGGTTTCTATCGACCGTATCATGTGTGCATATATATTCCTAATAATTAATTGAAGTATATAATTAATATTAATAGCATATATACAACTGACCATTATATTATAACAAATATATATATATATATATATATATATATATATATATATATATATATATATGCCAACTTTATACTATATATTTTTGAAAAACTAATCAAATATGTCGTCAACACAATTGTAATTATTGGACCTCAATTTAAAAAATGTAATTAATTAAAGTTTTGCCATTTTAAAATTATAACTCGATTAAATGACATATGTCTAGATTTAAAATTAATATGAACAATTCATTTCAACAAACAATTACACCATCATTTTTTTTAGTTCACATTAAGGGCCTAACTTTATTGGCTCTTAGTTGGTTGAACTTCAAACTTAATATTAAAAGACCTATGTTTAGGTTCAAACTCAATAGCAACATTTTTTTTTCTTACCTTCTCTCATTTATTTTATCTCTTTAATTTAATTTCTTCACAAGATAAATTAAATATTTTTTAGTCTACTTTTTATAAATCATTTAATTAATTAACAAATTAAATGCTCTTTTTGTCTATTTTTATTAATTAATGTATTATACAAGTTTATATTATACTTTTATTGTATTCGAATTAATCTATAAAAACCGATCTAAGTAAAAGAAATTAAAATTTAAAAAGTATTTATGAATATAGTGTTATTCAAATTATTTTATCTAATTGATTATGTTTCATATTTTGTCATGAATATTTGCACATTTTCACTCTACCCAGTTATATCATTTAATCTATAAAAAAATATTCTATTGTAATTTATAATGTATTTTATATTTTAACCTTATTATGGTTGTTTGATATGTTGTCATTGACATTTCTAACGTCATTTAATCTTTATCCCCACTTAGATAATTTTCTGGATCCGTCCCTAAATATAGGTATAATTAATGGACCTAACCCGCCATTTTCATTCCCTAAAAATTATGTATAATTAGTGTACTATTTGCGTCGAGATCACAATATGGCAATTTATATCCTGAACCAGGGCGCGCATTGCATTGTACGCCCTGATGCAAAACGACATCGTTTCAGATTTTTTTAAAAAATTTCGCTACCCTGTGTTGGCGGTTAATTTTTTTTTTTTTAAAAAAAATCTCATGTTCAAAAATGTATATAATTTTATACTAGAATACACATAATTGTATACATGAATGTACATAATTGTATAATAAATACACATATTTTTTTTAAAAGATAATACATATAATCTAACATAATACATAATATACATAAACTTTTAACATAATAAACATCAATTCTTAACATAATACACATAAATTTCCTGTTTCGGATGTACATAATTGTATAAAAAAAGATGTACATAATTGTATAAATAAATACACATAATTGTATAAATAAATACACATAATGTATAAATAAACAAATACACATAATCGCGTCAACTCCCTAAATAACTTACCAAAACAACGTCGTTTTGGGAGGCGCGGGACGCCCAGTGCTATCGCGCCGTGGTGCGGGTATAATGATTGTCACAATATATACAATTT